ACTCTGACTCCTCCTTTACCCGGTCTGCATGGGATCAGAAAACCTGCACTGTGCCGGTTCCTGCCCTTACAGGATAGCTTCTAGATAAAATCAAATACTCACAAAGGAACGATACCCAGCTTAAACTTAAAACTTCAAAATTGACACTGATGCAAAAAAGTCATGGGAGTAATATTTTCCAAGTATTTAAGGAAAAGAACTTTAACCTTAGAATTTTGTATACAGCTAAACTTACATAAAACGGAGGGCACAATATATTTTATTTTATTTATTTATTTATTTTTTTTTTAATAGAGGCATGCTTTATTTATTTATTTGTTTGTTTGTTTGTTTTATACATGCACTGGGTACAGTCAGAAGCACGGGAGGGTGAGAGAATTCACCAGAGCCAGAGCGGGGAGCAGAGCAGGCAGAAGGACCGAAGTACACTGCTGAGGGGAGCAGCGGGCGGCAGGAGAGGTCTGCGCGCCATGTGGGACCCTCCTCCGGTGGCCGGGGAGCAGCCGGGGATCGAACCGGCTCCTCGGGCGCGGGCAGCTTCGCAACCCAGCGCTCAACCGCTGCGCCACCGGGGAGAAAACGGAGGGCACAATATATTTTAAGTCTATTAGGCTTGCCCCAAAACAAAATGAATTCAATGGCACTGTAAAAGGATACCATGATCAAGTGGACTTTAGTCTAGGCATGCAAGGATAGCTAAGCATATACAAACTGTCAATGTGAATACCACATTAACAAAATGAAGAATAAAAATCATCTCAATGATCATCTCCATAGATGTAGGAAAAGCATTTGACAAAATTCAACATTCATTTAACACAATAAAGTAGGAATAGAGGAAACACACCTCAATTTAATAAAGGCCATATAGGACAAGTCCACAGATAACATCATACTTAACAGTGGAAAGATTTCATCTTTTCTCTAAGATCAAGGGTGCCTACTTAGGTTGCTTTTGCTCAAGTTAATACTTGAAATCCTAGTCATAGCCTTATGCAAGAAAAAGAAATAACAGATGTGTAAATTGGAAAAAAAGTGAAACTGTCACTACTTGCAGATGACCTACTTCATACACACACACATATCTGGAAAGAACAAACTCCACAGAAACAAATGCCACCAAGAAAAAAACTTAGAACCAACAGACAAATTCAGCAAAAGATACAAAATCAATATGTAAAATTTGTTGCACTTCTGTATATTAATGAACCACAGGAAAGAGAAATTAAAACAATCCCATTTACAACTGCATCAAGAAGAATAAAATACCTTAAATAAGTGCAACCAAGGAGGCAAAAAGACCTGTACACTGAAAACTTCCACAGGCTGGAATAATTCATACTGTTAAAATGTCCCAGTACCCAAAACAATCTATAGACTTAATGCTATCCCTAGCAAAATGCCAATGTCATTTTTCACAGATATAAATCAAACAACCCAGAAGTTTACATGAAGTCACAAAAAAAAACCCCAATAACCAAAAAAATCTTGAGAAAGAAGAAAAAGCTAGAGAAAATGCATCATGTGGCCTGAATACAAAGCATATTACAAAGCTGTAGTAATCAGATCAGTATGATATTGGCATAAAACAGACATAAAGATCAATGGGATGGGATGGAGAGCACAGAAATAAACCCATACAGACATGGTCAATTAATTATGACAAAGAAGCTAAGAATATACAATGGAGAAAGGACACTTTTTTCAATAAATGGTGTTGGAAACACTGGACAGATTGGTAACCCAATCTCAACCCTAACTCTGAACTTATGTTAGGGGGAAAGGATGTCCTTAGCAAACGCCATATAGACTTTGTGGACTCCACCCCCATACCATCAAGACACTGGGAACTACAAATCCCATGATCCCCAAAGGGAGTGTCACGAGGACCTGAGGGCAGAGTTAAGAGGCCATGTTCTTTGTTTGAATATATAACCAGTCATGTGGCTGCGGGTCAGCCTCTTGGCCACATGGCACTTGGCTTTTTGCCAGCTCACTGGGTCATTGGGATTCCAGGTCAGCAGAATGGGTAGGATGCATTTACGAATTTATCTCCCTCTTTTTCCCCCTGAGTTATTCATTTCTTCATTTCCCCTTCCCTTGTAAATAAACATTTTAGTAACCTTTTGTGTGCACATGCAGTTTAGCATTAATAAGTCCCTTTTAAGGGCCTGGGTGAAGACCCACAGTCAGGCAACCCGTTTCATATCGGGGTTGTCCTGTTAACACTTAGAGTACTGATACCAAGTAATTTCCTTACTCATTAGACCAGGTGTGAGCAAATGGGGGTTACCAACATGAACAACTTGAAAAACAGGACAGTTGAGGCAGGCTGGCCACCATGACATTCTGGTATCTTTCAGACCCAGGACAGTCACTCACAGGCTCAGGTGCCCTCAGGAGATAGCTCTGGGAGCCATGCTAGACTAGAGAGTCAGCCTAGGTTCCTAGGAGCCAAGGGCACTTCAAACCAGCTAAGCAGGAGCCAGAGATTTAGGGGATGAACATATGTCTGGAAAACTCTGTGAAAAGCAGATTGTCAGTTACACAGTAAGAGGGAAAGAAAGAATCCCTCAGACAGTTTGACTCTCCTCAGAGCACTAAGTTGGCTCCTGTTTAAAAAAATGGTGCAATCTGTTAGCCTGGCCTGCTTTCATTAGAAAAACGGCAGGATCTAGTACTAAATGACCATGTTTCTGTGGTAACAGGTGACCAGAAGTGAGCAATGGGTGCTCACGGAGATGAACCACGGGCTCTGCATTTGTCACAGACCCCATGGCTCCCGATTGCCACCTTGTGGTTATTTCACTAATTCATCTTCCTGGCATTTCAGTTTGTGAATTCCCTTTGAGTACCTTTTTTGTCTGTTTTATCCTTGTGAAACTCTTAACACTGTGGTTCTGAGTGGAAAATTTTTGGAATAAAGATCATTTCTACTAGACTAGGCTAGATTTTGGGTACTTAGATTTCCATATTTAGTAAATTACTGCTAACTTCAAAGAAATTATTAATTTAAAATTGGATAAAAAAGGTCAAGAATGTCTGCATTCTCGTGTTGAACAACAGATTTTCACTGATCATTTATTTCAGCTGAACTTAAATTGAACCAAATTTAAAGGAGTAACTGATTTTTTTTGGTTAAATTACTGAGGTCAGTGGAGATTTAGCTTTTTGAGGGTTGCAAGGCATGCTCAGACCAGCGGGGCTGAGGAGCTGTCTTCTGTCCTATTTTATATAATATGCCATTCACAGCTGAAAAGAGGCTCCAGACATTCGCCATCAACAGTAATTGTCTTGAGTGAATCAGGAGCTGACGTTATCTAGTAATTAACTCTTTGCTAAAAATCAACTTACGGCTGGGCCAATTAATTCTAAAGCAGAGCTTCTTATAAAATTACTGCACATGATTCTATTAACTTGAGAGTAAATATAGGCTCAAGAGCAGCCAGAAGTGAGTATGAAACTTCCCTGTTTTTAATACTTGACATTACTTTTAAAGCAAGATTTTTGGAGGTAATATTTTATGCACTTGAGAAACGGGCAAAAGAATTTAAATATTTAATTGACAAAAGAAAATATCCAGGGGCCTCCCCGGTGGCGCAGCGGTTGAGCGCTGGGCTGTGAAGCTGCGCAGGGCCTCTGCAGCGCCAGTTCGATCCCCTGCTGCTCCCCGGCAGCTGGAAGCGGGTCCCACATGGTGCGCAGACCTCTCCTGCCCCGCCCGCCCGCTGCTCCCCTCAGCAGTGTACTTCAGTCCTTCTGCCTGCTCTGCTCCCCGCTCTGGCTCTGGTGAATTCTCTCACCCTCCCGCGCTTCTGACTGTACCCAGTGCTTGTATAAATAAATAAATAAATAAATCTTTAGAATTGTTAGTTTAAGAAAAAAAAAGAAAGAAAATATCCAAATGGCCAAAAAGCGTATGAAAAAGAACCCTAATCATTACTCAACAGGGAAATGCTAATTAAAACAGCAACAAGATTCCTCTTCATATGTGTTAGCCAGGACAGCTGCCCTGGAATTCTCAGACATTGCAAGGGGAGCAGCAATTAATTCAAACACTTTGAAAACCTTACAGTATTCACTAAAGTTAAACACACGTTCTATCCAGTGACCCAGAAATTCTAATCCTAGGTATACATCCAAGAGAAATGAGTGCATATGTTCGCCAAAAGACCTGGAAAAAAATGTTTATAGTAGCTTTATTCACAGTGGCCCAAACTGGAAATCACCAAATGTCCAACAACTGCAGAATAAACAAACAGAAGATGCAGAATGTTACACATCAACAGAAACAAACAAGAGGATGAACCTCAAAGACATTTTGCTGAACAAAGGAAGTCAGACATGAAAGAGTTTGTACTACAGGATTCCATTTATTTGAAGTTCAAGAACTGGTAAAACTAGTCAATGTAAAAGAATCAGGATCAGTGTGGGGAGGGAGATACGGACAGGGAGGGAGAACGAGGGAACTTTCTGGGACACTGGAATTGCTCTTTGTCTTTACCTGGGTCGTGGTTACATGGGTGTGCACAGTATACATAATATAAATGAGCTGTACACTTAAGAGGCATGTGGTTTTGTAAATAATAGCTAAATGGGAAAGAAAACAATTAGTAAAATTTTAAATGTAAGCTCAGCTGATCATTACTAATTGGAGAGCATCTGGCTTCTGTCCTTTCCTTGCCTACCTCCTAATTCACTCCTTCTTGACGTCAGAGTTCTAACCAGCCCAGCCTGTTGTCAGCCCAGTGGCTAATTTCTGGGCACTAGATCCTCATAAGCTTTATCATCCCATTTTACAGATGAGAATAGAGACTCAGAGAGGTCAGGCAACATATCCAAGGACACATGATTGGTAAGTGGAGGAAATGACCTGAACACAGATTAATGGTGACAGAATTTAGTTCCTTAACTCCCACCCTAATGCCTTTTCCCACAGGAAACCAACAAATGTTTGTTGAATGAATGAATGAATGACTTAATAATAAACATATCCTTACCTCTTTGGCTTCATCTTGTGCTTTCATGTTTTCAGCAATATACTTGACACTCTGGATAGCTTCTTTGATTTCCGGTGACAAAACAGAGAGAGACAGCACAGCAGCATCCACAGATTCTGAACTGGAGCTTCTTGTGAGATTGGCACTGAAATTTGAGATTTTTATTCTGTGGTGGTGGCAGTAGCCACACATCCCATCCTGGCACGGATAGCCGGCCTTGCAGGCTTTGGTCTCTGTGCGGCTAAAGCAATTCAGATTTGAGAGCTCAGAGCTGTAGCAGGATTTTGGCTTTTGAGTACAGCCCTCGTTGGCTGGCCTGGTCATGAACATCACCCTGGGAAGCAAGCTTAGGAACACAGTCTTCACCCACGTGGGCATCGTGTGTGTGGTCGGAGTTCGGTAATGCACGTTGAGTACAAAGACAGTGATGACAATGGACAAGGTTACAAAAATCATGGTGAACAGGAGGTACTCACCGATGAGGGGAATCACTAGTGAGGTGGATGGGATGGTCTCAGTGATCACCAGGAGAAACACAGTCAGGGAGAGGAGAACTGAGATGCAGAGGGTCACTTTCTCCCCACAGTCTGAGGGCAAGTAGAAAACCAGCACGGTCAGGAAGGAGATGAGCAGGCAGGGGATGATGAGGTTGATGGTGTAGAACAAGGGCAGGCGCCGGATGTACAGTGAGTATGTGATGTCGGTGTAGATCTCCTCACAGCAGTTGTATTTGATGTCGTGTTTGTAGCCCGGGGCTTTGATGATGGCCCACTCGCCACTCTCCCAGTAATCCTTGAGGTTCATGGAAGAGCCTATCATAACCAGGTCAATTTTTGCCTTGTCATAGGACCAGGAACCAAACTTCATGGTGCAGTTTTGATAATCAAATGGGAAATAGGTTACATCGATTTTGCATGAGCTCTTAAAAATGGCTGGAGGAATCCACGTCACTTCCCCTGTATACTTGAGTAAAGCTTTGGTCTTGTCATCCACCTGGAAGTCCCCAACTGCACTGTGAAGACAAGAGGAGGTGTGACAACACACAGTTATCACCACATGGTCGTCTTATGCAGCCTCTCAAGTCCCCAGCAGGTAGATGCCAAGTAATGATTGTAAAACTGCAGAATATGAGCTCAAAGTGCCATAAAGTTTACCCAGTTCACCACCCTATTTCCAATAGGGACAATGAGGCCTAGAACCTCCCTCTCATCAATTAGACATACACATCACCCCCACATCCCACCACGTATATCATTGGTTTGTTCTACATGCACTCAGTATTTATTGAGTCCTTCCAAATGCCAGGAAGAGATTTTTTTTCCTCTTTAAAAAATGTGAGAAACTGATGAAAGTTGTCATCTCAGAGGCAGGTGTTTAGGGGATCTTTGGCAATATTGCCACTTGCTGTGCCTATGGTTTGGTCTTCTAAGGTCTCTTCATTAAGTTTCCACTGGGAAGCCAATGTGTGTGAAGCCAGACTGTGGAGTGAAGGGGCTGCAGAGATCACCCTGTTCCCTCATGCCCAGGAAACTGAGCCCTGTTAGGTGGGCTATTGCCAGACCTGATATCTGGATCCTGTTCTTTTTTTTTTTTTTTAAGATTATTTATTTATTTATTTATTATTTAATTTATTTATTTACACAAGCACTGGGTACAGTCAGAAGCACGGGAGGGTGAGAGAATTCACCAGAGCGGGGAGCAGAGCAGGCAGAAGGACCGAAGTACACTGCTGAGGGGAGCAGCAGACACGGCAGGAGAGGTCTGCGTGCCATGTGGGACCCTCCTCCAGTGGCCAGGGAGCAGCCAGGGATCGAACTGGCACTGCAGAGGCTGCGGGCAGCTTCGCAACCCAGCATTCAACCGCTGCGCCACCAGGGAGGCCCTGGATCTTGTTCTGCCACTCACCACATTCCCCATGACTCCCAGCACTGTTTTAGAATGAATAATCATATTTTCTGATTCCTTATGTTTCAAATCCAGCATAACAGGTTCTTTTGCCTTCTGTTTCCCAAGCTTTCCCTATTTTGCCCCAAGTTTCTTTTCCCTTCCTTTTTGGCTATGTACAATCTGATTTTCTTTTATACAGATATGTACATTTTTCTTAGAATCATCTTATTGGAATCTGTAAATTGCTCTGCTCAACAGGAGACTGCTGATGACCAACTCAGTATCCTGCTGAGTCTTACACCTGGGAGGGAGGCTGCCTGCACACCTCAGTGGCCTTGTCCAGAGAAGTGCCTGTCATTTCCAGGCAGTGGAGATCACTGCATCCTCAGTGAGTGGAAAGTGAATCAAATAAGACTCCGCAGCTTCTAATTTGTGGAGAGAACAGAACACAAGGTGGGAGCACATTGAACGCCAGCAGAGAGTCTATCAGGACTGTGTGGGTGCTGAAGGACCTCAGAAATACCTTTCCAAACTCCCAGAATAACTTGGAAAAGGGAATAAGGATGGTGGGGGGTGAGAAGAGACTGTGCATGTGGCTGCATGGAGGGGCAGCCTTTTAATGCTCCAAGTTCACTATATGAGCAAGGAACTCAAACAGGTAAGACAAGAGACCTGCCTTGACTTGCATCCCTTCTGGGAACTTGTCCTAAAAGCTCAACAAAGACCACCTATATAAGCAAGAACAACAGAAAAGGATTGGATTGAACAGCATATAAACAAGTTATAAGAAAATTATAAAAACAAATAACTGAGTAGCACACAAGCAGATAATTGCACACCAGAAATGCAGACACAGAGCAAACTGAAAATCTGATATTACTAATTGAGCTGAAAGAAACTAATTAAATCTTTAGAAACTGTGGAAGGTTGGCATAAACCAGAAATAGAAATGTAAGAAACAAGTTTGTTGCACAATAGGAGGCTGTATAAAGAACTGACAGAATGCAGGAAAGAACTAGGGTGGAAAAAGAATCATTTTAGAAATAAGAACTAAACTAGAAGAAACATAAGGACAAGAAGACACCATGGAAAGCATAGGCATGGAAATGAAAAGTAAAAAAAGAAATAAAATTTTTTTAACTCAAACAGAAATAAAGAAAAAGAATTTGAGAGAAAATAATATAGAGAGGATAGAGGTAAAGATGTTCCAACATATGTAAAAGTGGAATTCCTAGAGAGAAAATCAAAGCAATGGAACAGAAAAATCTTAAAAACTATACAGAAATAAAACTTTCCTGGAGTAAAAAAAGATTTATTATGTACACAATATGAAGAAAAACAGCCAAATTCTTGAGACAAAGGGAAAATACCTTTTGGTTACCTAAGCAAGAAGAACAAGCCATTTATAATTATTCATCCCAATGAGCCCTGGACAGTCTTGGCTTACTCCTGTGGTCTCAGCACACTTAATAATAATGTCTCCTTTTTCTCCCAAATGTCACCCCATTTTACAAGAAAAAGAAAATTAGATTGGCATAAGATTTTTGACAGCCATACTTGATACCAGAACAGTCAGTATTTTTAAGATTTTCGTGGAAGGAGAATATGAGCCACAAATAAGTGACATGAAAGTATTAATAGGATACAATGAGTTATGAACTTGTAAAAACTCATGATATATGCCATCCATGAGCATTTTCTGAGAATTTTATTAGTAGATGAACTACAGAAAACAAAGAATCATAGAGGAAACTTTGGCATAAGAAGGTGAAAGGTGTTTCTAGCCTGCTGAAATGAAGAAAACCCTTAACAGAGGACCAAACTGAAGTTTTGAGAAACTGAAGTTCTAACTTAGAGAAATTAGATGATTTTCTGTAAATGTTATTGATATTTTCAGCTTCAGATTCCAAGGAAATTCCTTATGTATGATATGTGCTCCTCTCCACACACAACTGAAAGCTTTTCACTGTCTCTCAATTTTGTTAAAAATCACACATCCAAAAATAGTCCAGCTGTTCACCCAAGATTATAGCTATAAAACAGCTATGACATTCCAATCATAAGATTATAAATTTTGCTCCGTTTCTTAATTCTAATTTAACAAAACTTCTCAACACCCTGCACAGTTCTCTATGAGTCTTTGGGACAGGATACTTCTAGAACAACACACATTCTATAAAGCAGGTGGGTTTACCTGTGTCCCAGTTCTTTAAAGACCAATTTACAAATAAGAATTGTATGAAAGAAATATCTTTATGAATGTTTACTTCCTTGGGAAATGGCAAATAAAACACAGACTGTCTTTGGAGTGGTTAAAGACCTCTCTGCTTGCCAGTGACCAGAAATTCAGATTCAGCAGATAACATATCTTCTCTAGTTCTAATCCTGAACATATTAGTTTCACCTACTATACATAAAACCTAAACACAGAATGCTCTTACTCATTAAAATCAGAGTAGCCTAATTCCATATGAAATGTTTTGCTAAAAAATGCTTAATGATTGAAATGAGAGAAAGCACAGGTTGAAAAATGGGAATTTTTAATACCTGAAGGACAAACTAGTTCATACTGTAAAATATCCACTGAAATGCATGTTTGCCTAATAAAAGAGCTTAAACATGAAAAGTGGCAGCTTCAAGCTTAGGTAGGATGGGCAGGTCTTAGAGTTGCTCTAATGGGCAGGGTCTGACTGGCAGAGGAAGAACCTTTGGAAGTTCTTCCTTCCAAAGAGGTGTGTGCAAGGGGTCAGCAGGGACACTAAGCACATGTACAGGATCGGGGAGGCGGGGAGCAGGGACAATTCATCATATGAAAAACAAAACCTCCTGTTCTAACATCATCGGGCCTGCGTAGGACCTCAGGCAGAGCTGTGGTGAAGGCCTTGGTAACAGATGGCCTCTCTGCCCAGTGTTGTCCTTCCTCCAGTCAGTGACTGCACGCGGGAACGTTAGGACTCGTGCCTGTCTTTCCTGGGGTGTGCTAGACGCCGAGAGGCAGCGGAGTTATCTGCGCTGTGTGTCCCTCTAGCTCCAGCTCCTGATTTACAATAGATGTGCAATTACTAGCCGCAGAATGAATTCACAAATGAAGACCTCTTGGAAAAGGTCTGAGGAAGGTCATCACCAGTGGGCAGATCAGGCCCCACAGTCGAGGCTGCAGCACCTGGCATCTTACTTGTTATAGAGCACAATGTCCGGCTTCCAGATCTTCTGCGCAGGGACACGCATGAACTCAGCCCCATCGTAGTCAGAGGGGTTCCACTTCAGCTTGTAATCATTCCAGATCTAGAGGGAAGTGGCAGCAAAAGGACCTGACGTGAATTCTGCTGCCAGCACCCACTGTGCCAACTCCCCGTCTTGCTTTCACTGAGCTGCATGCCACACTCACCCGTTTTCCCAAGTGGGTGGCAGTGGGGGAGCTGGCTCTGACTAAGCGTGGCGGTACCTCCTGGCTCCATGGGAGTCACTGCCCCATGATGGCTGGCGAGCCCAGCTCCCTGGTCAAACAAGGGCCATTGTTCTTTTCCCGTTCTGATGCCAGCGCCAGGCCCATGCCTTCACACCTGCTGTTTACCCCCTACAAAGGCTCTCCAGGAGCTTTCTCAGACATGTTCCTCACCAAGCCCCAGGCAGAGGATGCTTATCACACACAGAGCCCTCCTCCACTCCAAGTGAAGCAGGGTTGACCTCTGAAGGGTTCTGGGGAAGACACAATGACCCCATGGATCCCAAGATGTGTCTGGCTGCAGAGGCAGGGAGCTCTGTCCCAAGGAAAGAGGGATATGGCTGTAGTAAGTGCCCAGAGGATTGTGTGCTCAGGAAGTTGAACGGCGCTGTGCTGTCCAGCTTCCCGGGAAGGAGGCTGCATGAGCAGAGAGCCTGGTCAGTGGGTCACCATTAGGCTGCTGAGATAATTGTCTAGATCTGGACAAAACCTCCCTGGGGAGGTCACATGGAGGCTGAATTCTTTGGCCTCGATCTGAACAGAACAATCCAGAACCTCTGCTTCTTCCCTACCAACATGGACAACGGGCAATTTGGGCTCAAAGTTGAATGTTGACTCTTTGGTAAGGGAAGGGAAGGACATATATTCTTAGGCACCACTCTAGAAGCAGGGGCCAGGCCTGGAATTCAGGCCCCATTTGCTGTATGACTGTGGAGAAGGGCTCTCCCTCTAGGCTGCAGTCTTTCCAGGGGACCCAAATCCAGCAAGAGACAGGCCAGCCATCAGTGGACCCCAACCTTGAACCCAACTAGTGAAGTCAGGGCCTTTCTTGGGTCAGGGACAGCAAAATAAGTAGCGACCGGCAGGGGGCAGCAGCGTGCAGTGCCTGCTCGCTTACTTGCTTGAGCCACAGGTTGGTCTCCATGATCTGGTTTACTTCATCCTAGAAAGAAACATTAAGGCGGACTCGTGAATTACAAAACAAGGTTGGTTCTGGGAAAGGCTGTTCTGGCAATCCCGCACCCCGGGGCTGCAGCTTGTGGCTCTGGCACTCACCACTTTCACCAGCTGAGACATGGACACCTCAAACTGGATGATGACCGGGTGAGACACGTTGGCCACAGGTCGGATGAGCTCGTTGTAATCTTCAAACAGCCGCTCAAACAGGCGGTACTCAGCGTCGGAGGCGCAGGCCACTGAGGAAACAGCCCTGTCATAAGCTGGGGGCAGCATTGCTTCTCCCCTCACTAGGGACCCTCCCCACCTCCCTTCCGTTCATTAGGGGGACTCTACAGAGCTCCAAACTTTCAGACTAGTCTTACCCCTCCAAGCTACAGGCTTGGAGAGACTGGTTCCCCCAGGTCACACACATTCAGTAAGCAGTACTGTGGGCACGAGCCTCAGCTCTGCACTAGGGTAGATCTGGTGCAAATCCTGACAAACTACTTGTGAGTGGTAGGAGCTTGAAGCAAGTGGCTTACCTGCTCTGAACCGCCTGTCTTTATCTGTAAAAATAAAGTTGACAAATGCACCCACCTCACAGGGTTATGAGTGAAGTGCTCAGCTGGGTGCTGGCACAGGGTCACCTTCCTGGTTAGACAGGGCAGGGCCCTGTGCCTGGGCTGGCACCAGGCCTCCATCTCCTGTCTGCCCAGGGCTAGGGCCACCCAGGGCCGGCCAAGCCAGGCGTCCTGCCTCCTAGCTTGTGGGAGACACAGCCCAGGACCGGGACACGCCTCCACCCCACTTGGGACCCTGCAAGGGCGTGGCCACCCAGCCATACCCAGCCTGGCATCCACACAGCACTCATGACCTGCGAGCTCTTCACATCTTATCAAAGGGGCTTTTTTCTCGAAACCCTTTGTTCATAAGCCACAGCCCCTCCCCCCGCCATCTACTCCCCCATCAGGCGTCAGCTACTTCCCACTTACAGATAAGGGCACCGTCTGGTGAGGGGATGAGAGGACTCCCTGCTGAAGTCCACCCCAACTTGGCCAGGTATTGAAATGAGACTTGCCTCTCCCTGGCCCGCCAGAACATGGGAGAGGCCCGGGGAGGAGCCCGCGGGAGTGCAAGGCTGCTGTGCAGTCAGGTCTCTGCACAAAGGACAGGGAAGGTGCGCTGCGCGCACGGGTGCAAGGTCTTCGTCCAACAGTTACAGGCCAGCACCGGGCCAAAGCCCACACAGTCCCTGGGCATCTACCAGGTCTCCCAGGCCCCCCAAGAGCCTCTGGCGACGGCTCAGGGCCGGCTCCTTCCTGACTCGCTTTTCTTAGAGACCCCGCAGGCTTTGGGAGGCGCGCTGGGCGGTCAGGGAGCGCAAAGACGCAGAGGAGCACCCAGGACAGGCTGGCGCTTTGGCCTCCAGCTCGGAGACGATCCCCGTGCACCCCCGGTGGCCTTGCACAAGTTTCGAAGCATATCTTGCCTCAATTTCCCCACCTACTGGTAAACAAGGAGGTGAGCTGGAGGCAGGCCGTGGGGACGGCAGTCTGGCGCCCGGCGGGTCCGGGGCGCGAACCAGTCTCTCCAGGATCCGGGCGGGCGGGTCTCCACGCGCGCGCCCCCAGCCCGCGCCCCCAGCCCGCGCACACCTGCTTCTGGGCGAGCGCACAGGGAAACTCGCCGGTGAGCCCGGCGGCGGGGGGCATCCCTCACCTCCGCCGCCGCCGGGCAGGAGCGAAGCTCACTGGCTCCGCGCCCCCGGGGCCGCCTCTCCGCCCCGCGCGCTGCGCTCCCGGCCGCCGCCCCTTCGGACCTCGCGTCCCCACCCCGGGCGCCCGGTTCTCGCGTCCGGTCCCCCAGCTCCTACCCGGCAGCAGCAGCAGCAGCAGCGCCGATGGCGGCGGGAGCCGAGCCCCGAGGGCTGGAACCCCGCGGGCGCCCATGCCTCTGCGCGCGGGCCCGAGACCCCGGGCGGCGGCAGGTCCAACGGGCCCAAAGAGCAACAAGCGGACTCGGACGCCCGCCCGGCTCGCAGCGCCGCCGCCTTCTCCGAGCTGCGCCCAGGGCGCGGCGCCCCGCGGCTCCTCCCGGTTCTCTCGGCTCCTCCCGACCCCGCCTCCGCCCACCTCCCGCCCAGCCCGGCCCCCCGGCCTCCCCTCCCACTTGGGGCGCCCGCGGGCACCGCCGGACGCGAGGCCCTCGCGGGGGAAGCTGCGCGCGCGGCCCAGGGTCCCGGCTCAGCCTCATGGGCCGGAGCCGCACCGGCCGGTGCCTGCGGGGCCAGCGGGCGCTGCCCGGCCGGGAGGAGGAGTTGTGGGGCCTGCGGGGACGGGACGGGCGGCCTCTCCGGGTGGGGCCATTAGGGAGCCCGTCTGGTGGAGAGGCTCAAACACGACCACAAAACATGGCTTAGAGTTTTTGTTAAATATTTAAATAATTTTAAATGCACTTATTAATTTTAACTATTTAAATAATAATTAATGTATCTAAGTTGATGGTAAGTGATTGTTAAGTATTTTAGGTGTGATCATGTTTTTGTGTTTTTAAGAGTCCCCTTAGAAACATTATTTTAGTGAGGCCAGGGCATGGAGACATTGACACGGTACTACCCTGCCTTTCCCTGAACCTCTTTTGCACCCACCGTCTACACCCCAGGCAGACCCTGGGTTTCTATGGGGTGCAGTGGGGGCACCTCACAGGCTTTCTTGGGGTCCCTTTATCACAGGTGAGTTCCCTTTATTATTTCCAGTATGGGCCTCCCGTTCCCATCAAATGTCTCCAAACAGAAGGGTCATTTTGTGGAACCCCGAAAATGTAAGAAATGGGGTTTATCTTTTCAGGTCTCCATTTATGTTTTTATTTTTGTTTTTAAACATCCTTGTTTATTTTTTTCACAACATAGGATTTCTCCCCTCCGGTGTGGTCATCATAGTTTTTCCACCACCCAAGCGCTCACAGTCCTCCACTCTCCTCCACCAGGCTTTCCTTCCTGTCTGTTCTCTGCTCTCTGCCTTCTCTCCCTCCTCCCCTCCTGAATGTGTCAGATCTACAGTCTGTTTTCAAGGATCAGTCTTACATTTAGTCTTTGTCTAACCCTTTTGTTAGATTTCTGTAGAGTCCATGTAAGTAAAGCCATACAGTATCCATCTTTCTCCTTCTGGCTCACTTCGTTTAGAATAATCCCTTCCAGCTCCATCCATGTTGCCACAAATGGCATGAGTTTATCTTTTTGATGACTGAGTAGTATTCCATCGTGTATAGAATGATCCACACACCTATTCTGGGGCATTTAGGTGGTGTCCATATATTGGCTGTTGTAACTGTAGCTACTGTAAACACAGGCGTGCAGGTTTCCTTTCGAATTAGTATTTTTATGTTCTTTGGATACCTAGGAGTAAAACTGCTGGGTCATATGGGAAAATCCATTTTTAGTCTTTTGAGGAAACTCCACACTGCTTTCCATGGGGCTGGACCAGTCTATGTTTCCACCAACAGTATATCAGAGTTACTTTTTCTCCATACATTTTTCCTCCAGCATATGTGTGTGTGTGTGTGTGTGTGTGTGTATGCCATTCTCACAGGTGTGAGGTGGTATCTCATTGTGGTTTTGATTTGCATTTCCCTGATGATAAGTGATGATGAGCATTTTTTCACGTGTCTGGTGGCCATCTGTATGTCTTCTTGGGAGAAGTCCCTATTTCGTTCTTCTGTCCATTTTTTGATTGGGTTGTTTTCTTTTTGTTGAGTTGTGTGCACTCTTTGTAGATCTTCAATATCAGTCCCTTGGCAGATATAAGGCATGCAAATATTTTCCCCCAGTCAGTAGGGTCTCACTTTATTTTGGCCGTTGTACAGAATCTTTTTATTCTGATATAGTCCCAGTTATTTTCTCACTTGTTTTCCTTGCTGATGAGTTCACAAAGGTGTTTCTGAGGTTTATGTAATGGAGTGTTTTGCCTATAATTTCTTCAGCGTTTTATGGTTTCAGGTCTTACATCCAAGTCTTTTATCCATTTTGAGTTGATTTTCATGTATGGTGTGAGATAATGGTCTAGTTTCATTCTTTTGCATGCAGCAGTTCAATTTTCCCAGCATTACTAATTGAAGAGGCTTTCCTTGTTCCAATGTATATTCTTTGCTCTGTTGTCATATATTAATTGTTTATAAATGTGTGGTTTTACTTCTACTCTCAATTCTATTCCATTGGCCTGTGTGTCTGTTTTTATTCCAGTACCATGCTGTTTTAATTATTATGGCTTTATAGTATAGTTTGAAGTCTGGGAGTGTGATAACCTTCATTGGTCCCCTTTTTAGTCAGGAGAGCTTTGGCTATTTTTTTTGTGTGTGGTTCCATATGAATTTCAATAATCTTTCTTCTACCTTTTTGAAGAATGCCATTGGGATTTTTATTGGGTTAGCATTGAATCTATAAATTGTTTTGGGTAGGATGTCAGGACCCCATTTAAAGCATTCTCATTCTCCTGGCAATATATTGGAAGCATATATTGGGAATCTTGAAAAATATTGGAAATCTCATATACAACAAATGAAGAGATATTTAACATCATCAGTCATCAGAGAAAAGCATATGAAAACCAGGATGATATACCACTTCACCTCCACTGGGATGGCTAAAATAAAAGTGCTGACAATCCCAAATGCAGACATGGAGACAGAGCAGCGGATGTCTCATATTTTGCTGGTGGGAAGGCAAAGCTACTGCAGAAAACAATGTGACAGTTTCACTCCCCAGATTACCCAGCAGCATACTCCTGATTTGTCTAGAGAAATGAAAAATTTGTTCCCACAAAATCCTATACTGGATATATACAGCAGTTGCCAGAAACTGTTGGCAACCCAAATGTTCTTTAATATCCACATAACAGAATACTGCGCTGGAAGGCAATGAGCAAACTCTCAGTATCCACAACGACCTGGGTGGCTCTCATTATGATTCCACTTAACGGCATTCTTGAAAAGATGAAAAAAGATCAGGGATTACAAATGGGGAGATATATGACCATAAATGGGTAGCAGGAGAGAGTTGTTTTGGGTGATGGGTCTCTCTTATATCCTGATTACATGAATCTGTACATGTATTAAAATTCATAGGACAAGACATCAAAAGTCAATTTTATTGTAGAATAATTTAAAAAATGGAATGCCTCCATTCCACAATATTTTCAGTGACTATTCCTTGTTAGGCACTGTGCACAAATAGTATGTGAGGGCCCATCTGGGAGGAAGCCTCTGTGACGGGGGCCGTGGAGGAACCCGGCTGGGCCACAGAACTGCAACAGGGCTGTGGAGAGTGGCTGTTCCCTTCTGGGTGGAAACAGGGACAACTGCTTAGAGGAATTCAAAGGAGGAATAAAAGCTATTCATTCATTCAGCCAGCATTTATTGAGCACCTGTTGTGTGCCAAGCCCTGTGCAGGCACCAGGGCTACTGCAGAGATGAAGGGCCAGGTCCCTGTGCCAAAGAGGCTCCACTAGAGGGGAGATGTGGGGAGTAAACACGCCACCAAATAAGAGCTTCAGGCAAGGAGCAGTTCAGGGAAGGGGCTGTGGGGAGAATGCTTTAGAATGGGTGAGTGGGCAGGCCTCTCGGAGGAGGTGACAATGAAACAAAGGACGAATGGGAGCGGCACCCTGAGTGATGCAGCCATAGAGCCTGGGGGGGGCGCTGTGTCAGAAGGCTTGGGTAGAAGGTAGAGCAGATGCCAATGTTCTGAGCTGGAAGGATCTTGAAGTATATGAAGGACTGAAAAAAGGCCAGTGGACGGGCGGGTGGGGGGGGGGGAGGTGGGTGACAGGCAGGCATCACACACACAGCAGTATGATGGTTCTTGTTGCCAGCGCCAGCCACAGGGAAGACAGGCTAGAATGAAACTATCTGAAGCCCTGAAGCTGGGGTTTTCTGGGGCTCCTGTAGGGATTTTCCAGAAGCCAGCCTGAATCCTCCATGTTTGTTCCTCCCGTGGATGTCTGATGGGGTTGGTGGCTGCTGTCTCATTCATTTAGTACTTCGTTGACCCTGGGCCAGAGGAAGCAGCAAACTACCCACCTGCCCACTCACATCACCTCACCCCATACCCTGGGGACCGCAGGACACACACGGAAGCCTAGGGCCCCTCAGGAGGTGTGTAGGTCTGGAAGAGGGGGGGCAGGAAGAGCCCCACGGTGCCGAGCACACACACTACCACGAACACCCACAGGAACAGCCGGTCGACCACCAGGGCCACGTACTTCCAATCCTCAATAACCTGTGGGCAGACAGAGAGGGGCCAGTTATGGGGGACCCTGCTGGGACTTTGGTGCTTCTCTGCCTCCCCTAATCTGGGCCCACCAGCCACCCAGGACTTGAGAGGGGTGAGTTCTGAGCACCAGGCTGGTCCACAGGTGGCATCTCTGTGCCCTCAGTCCATCCCTCCCTGCTCCCGAAAGTCAAGGCAGAGCCAGTGGGCTCAAACTTAAGGAAAAGATTAGGAACCTGGGGGTTTGTAACCACATATTGTAATCTGAAGCCACGCCTGCCCCTTTTTCTCATGTTCACCCCAAATCCCCTTCCTGAGCTGGCTCCACCAGAAGGAAGGTTTGAGATCCTCAGAGCTCAGTGGGGCAGGAAGTGGAGTCTATAGGACCTCTGCAAATTCTGCTGTTTGCTCAATACTGTGCAATTCAGCCCCTGGAATGAGGACTTCCTGCTGCACTTTCTGAGTGACCCCTCTCTCTCCTCAAAGCAGTAGTAAGATGCCTGCTTGCTTCCTCTGCTGAGGGAGACCCAGCGTCCAGGCCCCTCTGTGCACTTCCCCTGCAGGATCTGAGGGAGAAAGCAGAGGCTCCGGAGTTGGGTGTTCAGCAGCAGTGACATCAGGGCCCCTCACTGGTGTGCATCTACCCTCCTGGTCACCCTGTGTCACCGCCCTGCTGGTAGGTCCTGGGATGCAGGAGGGCACTGCACCACTCTCTACTCTGGATTTCTTGGGGTTCTTTTCAATTTCAAGTGACTTATTTTGGTTTGTGTATGCACATGCCTTTTCCACCTTTTACATTTTTGTGCTATTTATAGTGGCCAGTTAACCACTAGCGAGGATAAAAGTGCTGAAGATGAGAAACACAGCCACAAGGTGGACTTAGGAGGGGCAAGTTCTGGAAGGGGAGAAGGTCTCTTTCCTATAGCTACACATGACAAAGAGGATATATTCATAGGTCCACCATTTGCTGGTGCCAGGCAAGGCACTGGAAGGGCAAAAAAGATTAAGGACACCAGAAAGATCTGGGTATGGAGCTTGCTCTGCCCAGTGCCAGCTGTGTGAGCCGGGGCAAGTCAGTAAGCCTCTCTGAGCCTCGTGTGAAATGCGGATTTGAGAAAATCCCATATCAAGGGTCCCTGCAAGGGTTAGCAGTATAGAGGTCAGGTCCTGGGAGAGCCCACTGGTCACTATAGTAATGGTGGGTCCTGCCTGGCGCTTTCCCTCAAGGACCTCTGAATTACTTGAGTTAGAGATAGCAGGAGGCCTGTGAGTGAGTGCCAAGGGGGTGGCGAGTCTTCTAGAAGAGAGAGCCCAGGATGCATGCTTCTCAGCCAGGATGCAGGAGACCAGCCCTTCTCAACCGGGATGCAATTTACAAACACCCCCCAACCCTGATATCCCGGCTCAGCCACACGGGTGGCCCACCCCAGAGCTGTGTTTTGAAAAGCTGTCCAAGTGGTTCTTATTCAGCCAGCTGGGCCCCAGGCTGCAGATTAACATTGGGGGATCAATGAATTTAGTGAGGCGGGGTTACTGACTGGCTTAAAGAAAGCATCAAATTCATCTTTTACAGCGTGAAATCTGATAGTCCGGTAGAGACGTGCTTCTTGAACTGGCATGTGCCTGGAATTGCCTGGAATTTGGTGAATGCAGAGCCTTAGTCAGCAGGGCTGGGGCAGGGTCCGGGTGCTGCACTTCTAGCCAGCTCCCGGGCCATGCATGTGAGGGCTTGAGAATACATTCTGAGGAGCCAGAGGGTAGAAGGAGCGCTCACGTCCTATATTCCCCTTGCTAGCAATCCTCTTCTTTCTTTCAACAGCATAATTCCAGAGGGTTCCTAGCCTGCTCTTTCCTCTCACTGTTAACTAATGGAATCCCAGCATGCCCCTGAGACCACGACTGGGGAAGGCGAATCACAGAAAGATTGGAACCAGGAAACGCTCTCTTGCCTGGAAGCTATGAGGATGTAAGAACCGTTCAAAGACACGAACATCCTCCTCTGAAAGGGGTTAAAACGAGAACATTCACAGGGCTCTGAAGCCTGTTCTCCTGCCTGGTACGGAGATGTGTGTGAACGTCTCTAGCTGTTCTATCACACACTGTGCTCTGTGACTATCAAAGTGTGCTTTGAAGTGTTATTTGTTCAAAGTCATTCGAGACCCTGAATTCTAACACTCATTGCTGTGTTCTGTAAAAATAAACCTGACCTCTTTTTAAAAAATCTGTTATTGTAGTCACCCTACTTGAGAATTTATTACACTGATAACCGTTACTTTAATCAATGTCTCTCCGTACCTAAAACTCGTGAATGGCATTCTGGCTTCCCGACAAGACCCATCCGGATGGGGGCGCCCAGGATGGGTGCCAGCCCACCTGTTCCCTTGAGGCTGCAGAAGGCATTTCCGCCCCAACAGCCTCTGCTTCCAGGGCACCTGCACCCCCTCTTCTCCCCCCTGAGGATTTCTACCCTGGACAGAACCTGGAAGGGCCAGGGAGCAAGTGCCTAGGGAGGACCGTCAATCCCCATGGGCTGAGAGGACAGATAGCAGCTCCTCCCAGAGGCTGATTCTGAGGTTTGTCCCTAGGTGTCCTCAGAGGGCGGCAGGGATTGAGCCCGAGCACCCTCGTGTGCTCTGTTCACCAACACCCATGCCGCTTTCCTCCTTTTTCTGTTTCACACCCCCTACTTCAGGGTGCCCTTTTGAGAAGTGCCCCCAGGTCCTCATTCCAGGGTGTGCCTTGGGGGAGCAAGAGATAACCAACCCAAACCACTCACACCCCCTTCTCTCCCCTCTGCACAAAGCTAACATAAACCCCATTTTAGTGCTGGATTCCTTATTCACACAAAGTTTGCACGCTCTCGTCTCACTGAGATGACCTGCAGGAAACGGGAGCTGCTGCGCCGTCAGAGCCCCTGCGCAGGGTGGGGCCTGGGCTCAACTTACACTCTGGTCTTCATCGTCACTTTGCATGTGCTGGGCGATGAAGCTGACACCCTCAAGAGCCTCCTGCACGTGCTGCTGGAACCTCCCTGAAGACCTCAGCCGGAAATCCTTGGGGACCCCTTCTGAATCGGAGCCCTGTGGAGATTTGGGGGCTGCAGAGGCTGGGTTCACGAAGTACATGGAATTCCCATAGAGGTGGGCAGAGCTGGGGGCTCCGATGGCCGAGCTGGTGGTGGCCTCAGACCCCACCGTGCAAGGCTGGAGGGGTGGGGGAACCTTAGCGGCACTGCTGTTGGGGCGCTTCATGAAGAGGAAGGTGGGCAGCTGGTGGAGGAAGCAGCGCTTGACCCAGGGCGCCATGGTGTGCGTGCTGGGGGAGCGGTGGTGCACGTTGAGCACACAGACGCTCGTGATGATGGAGAAGGTGACGAGCACCATGGTGAACATGAGGTACTTGCCGATGAGCGGCACGTCCAGGGAGGTGGGCGGCACTATCTTGGAGATGAGCAGCAGGAAGACAGTGAGCGCCAGCAGCACGGAGATGCACAGTGTCATCTTCTCGCCGCAGTCGGATGGCAGGTAGAAGACCAGGATGGCCAGAGAGGTGATGAGCACGCAGGGGATGATGAGGTTGATGGTGTAGAAGAGGGGCTTGCGCTTGATGATGAAATCATAGGTAATGTCCACATACCTGGGGTCCTGGGGGTTCACAGTCCTCCGCCCTGGGAGGTCCACGATGTCCCACTCACCACTGGGAGTGAAATCATCCATGCTGGCCATGGGCGACTTAAGCACCATGTCGATCTCCGTGTGGTCATAGGTCCAGGAGCGGAACTTGAGGGTGCAGTTCTGCTGGTCAAAGGGGAAGTGCTTCACCTCAATCTTGCAGGCGCTCTTGTAGATGGCGGGGGGCAGCCACGCGATGCTGCCATTGGAGCGGACCACTACGTTGGCGTAGAATGAGACCTCATAGGTGCCATCGGCGCTGGGGCAGGTCAGGGCATGGAGGAGAAATCAGGAAATCCATGGACAAGACCTGGCCTGCTCACAGAACTCTCTGAAGAGCCCTTAGGATCATTTCTATGAATCACCCTGCCAATCCCTCACCCCCACCTCCCTAAGCAGCCCCGGCTTACATGACGGTTACAGAGAGCCCTACCATGACGCAGGCCAAGGCTCTCGCGTGGTATAGCTGATTTAAGCTTCATAAGGGTGCGGTGAGGTTTATTACTACCCCCAATTTACGATGGAAAAACCAAGGCTCAGAGAATTTAAGCGACTTTCAAGGGCAGAAAACTACTAAGCAGTACATCTAAGATTGGAACGTGGGTCTTTCCGTGCCTAGACGGCTCACTGGTGATCATTCCTGCTTCTGCTGCTCTAACTCCCATGGCCTTGCTCCTTCCCCTTCGCTCAGGGAAATCAATACTATAACATGGACAAAGCAACTGAGGGTTAGCGAGACGGACCGTGTGGAGGACAGAACGAGCACTGGGCTAGAGTCGGGACGTTGGCCCTGGTCCCGGCGGTACTGATCACCGATGCCTCCCCACCCTCCCCGGGCTGTGGTTCAGCTCAGCTCTAATTCCTCTTCTGGCCTGATGGCTCAAAGATGGGTGACACGCAGCCCGGCCCAGGATGGAGTCAGGACTGGAGGGCCCCGAAGGCTGGGCCTGCTGCTCTGCCCGAGCCCTCACCACCTTGGTCAGCCCGCTACTTACTTGTTGTAAAGCACGATGTCAGGCAGCCAGACGCGCTTGGCCGGGATCCTAAGAATGTTCACGCCCTCATAGTGGGAGCTGTTCCATGCCAGGCGGTGGTCGGTCCATTCCTGAGCAGACAGGCAATGGCAGACCGCTCTCCAGTAAGGGGTGGCCCTGCAGGAGATGCCCTCCGGGGCTGGGGGCTCTGCAGGGCACTTACCTGTTTCAACCAAACGTTGGTGGTCATGATCTGTTCTCGCTCATTCTGGGAAGGGAAATGAGACTCTCAGTTCACCGAGTTGGAGGAGCCTCACGCACGAACCTGCACGGTCACGCAAATGCTCCAGCTCCAGCCCGTGTGCCCAACAGCTCTTGCACGGCATCTACTTGTGTATGGCCTGCCCCCTCCTACCAGAATCTGAGTTCCTTGAGGGCAGAGAGCACCTAGAAGAGTATCTAAGATGTGTCAGGAACTTGGTAAATGCTTTCTGGAGAATAAAAGAATCCTACCACAGAACTCACCGGAACCACTGCAAGACACACCCTACAGGTCATGTACATTCTGCATGTGCTCATTATGCACACACATACACACACACACCCCTCTTATCTTCCTGTGAAACCAGAACAGACTTTCCAAAGTTCCTGCCACTCTCCCTCTTAATCCTATTCCTACTTATGTCAGCTCTATGGTTTTCTTCATATAGTGCAAAGATCTAACTCCTTCACATGGTCTGGAAGGCTTGCCAGTCTCCCACCTTCCCATGCCCCTTAATTCACCACCTGACCCTCTCCAGTTCTCTGCTTGTGCCTGGTGCTCTTGATAGGTACCATTTTCCTGCCGCTTCTCCACCAACTCTTCCTGACATCCTGACCTCAGTTTGGGAGTCATTTCCTCAAGGAACCTGTCCTGAACCCTCAAGCATCAGCTGCCAGTGACAGGAAGCCAAGTTACACTGGAGTAAATAAAGCCTATCTCTCTCTCATATTACATTTTGGACATATATGATGGCTTTGCTCCATAAAGTCGATGGGGACCTGGCAGCTTTCTTCTCTACAGGGGCCTAGAATGTGACCCACACCTGCATAACTGCTGGAGCTCCAGCCACTGCATCCACATTCCAGGCTGCTGAGGTGTGGGTGGGAAGAGGACAGAGAAGGATGTTATTAGTCTTGTTTTAATTAGAGTTGTTAGGCCATTTACACTTAATATAGTTACTGATACACTTGGGTTTAAAACTCCTATTGACCTGTTTTCTATCCCCTTTTCTCTCTTTTCTTGCCTTGTTTTGGATTATTTTGTTACTCCTTTTTGCCCCATATTAATGTGATTCTTCTTTCAGTCATTACCCTATGCATATACATAAGATTGTAATATACATATAATTGCCTTTTTAGACTCTAATACCAACAAGTATTTTTCCCAGTTCCAGAACAAGACAAACATTTCAACTCCATCTTTCCCCTCCTGGCCTTGGGGCTATTGTTGTCATGTATTTAATTCTACATACAACGAAATCTTGTAAGATAATTTATTGCTTCAGACTGCCAATATAAATTCCATTGCACTCATGTTTGTTGTTAGTATGTGCTTCATTTTGTCCTACATTCTGTTTCCATCCGGGATCATTGTCCTAATGGTTAAAGAACATCCCTAGCACTGGGTCTTCTTATCTTAACTTCTCTATTTTTGCCTGAAATCATATTTATTTAACCTTCACTTTGAAGTACATTTGTACTGTTTATCTATTACTAGGTTCTCAGGTTGAAGCACTTTAAAAAAGGTGATTCACTTTTCTAACTTCCATTTTCAACTGTTAGTTTTATTGTTGCTCCTGCCATTCCCCCCCCCATATACTCCCCTCCCTCCCAGCAACTCGGCCCTCCACCCCATTTCTGGCTGTTTTCATAGCAGCACTATTTACAGTAGCCAAGATGTGGAAACAACCTAAATGCACCAGAACAAATGACTGGATCAAGAAGACATGGTAGATACACACACGATGGAACACTACTCAATAATCAAAAAAGATAAACTCGTGCTATTTGTGGTGACTTGGATGGACCTGGAAGGGGTTATTACCCTGTATGAAATGCTGGGTGGTTTCACTTATAGGTGAATACAGAGAAATCAAAAAAAGGGTCAGACAAAGACAATTTTTTAATCTCATCCTTGAAAGCTGACCACAGATCTGAGCATCCAGGATAAGAGAGGGAGAGCTCAAGGAGCAGAGAATGGGAGAAAACGGGGAGCACAGTGGACTGCAGTGGAGGATCACGGGTGCTCTGGTGCTGGAAGAGCTAAGGTGACTACACCTGAGGGGACAGATCCTACCTTGTGAAAAAATTAACAAGGATGTAAAATTACGGTGCTTCATTTCATATGTAATTATATATGTAAAAACAAAAAGAGAAAACAATAAGATGTTCTCTTTGTCTTTGGCTGTCAAGATCCGAGCAGGGTACACCTGGGTGTGACTTTCTTTTCATTTATCCCCCAAGGGGTCATCGAGCCTCTTTTATTTATAGCTTAGTGTCTTTGGTTAGTTTTAGAAAGTTCTAAGCCAATATAACTTCGAATATAGCTTCTGTCTTATTCTTTATTTCCATTCCTTCTGGAAACCCATGGACTTACTCCAAGGCCTGACCTTTTCATCATGTACCATTTAATCTCTTCTGTGTTTCCATCCTTTTTTCTTGCTATCACTGTTTGGATAGTCTCTGATGTCCTGTTTTCCGGTTGTTGACTTTCTCTTATACTATAATCAGTCTGGTATTAAACTGAGCCATGAATCTGACCTTTTCCATTGTTATGATTTTTAAAGACTGGAATGGCTGTTAAAGAAAATTTATTTATTTGTTTCTTTTTAATAGTGGTAAAGTCTACTTAACAAAAAATGTGCTCTCTTGATGACACTTATTTTAAAGCCTATGCCTGATGACTAAACTGAGTCATTTGTGTCTCTATTATTGACTTTTTCTCTTGGTCTTACTTTGTCTTGTCTTATTGTGAACTTAGTAGAATTTTTTATGACTTCACTGCCTCCAGTGAATACTGACCGCTTTATGCAGGCAGTTAGCAGACAGGCGATCTCTCTAATCTACGTTGTAACTGCATTGGTTCAAAGCAGGCTTCAGGTTTTGGGAGGGAGACTAGTCTGGTTTTGGTTAATTTTCACTCTTTTTTTTTTAAGATCTATTTATTTATGCATACAAGAACTGGGGTGTAGGCCAGAGGTGTGGGGTAAGAGGATTCACCAGAGACAGAGTGGGGAGCAGAACAAATGGACTGACTGAAATACACTGCTGAGGGGAGCAGCGGGTGAGACTGGAGAGGTCTGCTGTGCCAGGTGGGTAGCTCCCTGGCCGGGGATGGAACTCGTGCTGCAGTGGCTGGGGACAGCTTGATAGCACTGTGTCTTTAACCCCTGCACCACCAAGGAGGCCCCCATTTTCACTCTTACGGGTGGTTGTTTTAAGGACTTCACCAAAACTTTATCTCCTAAGTGGAGCTCATGCTCCCAGCTCATGACACCAGGCCTATGAGGTTGCCAAGTTTCCACTAGGCGTGCAGCTTCTGAGCCCCCACTAAGTGTTCTTCTTCTCAGCCTCTTGCCCTGTGCTGTTCACCGATTATCACACGGGGGAACACACCACAGGTGGTGAGGGCACCTCTTGTTATACCTTCCAACAAATTGGGGTGGGGATTTTTGTCTAACTTTCCTAATCATTCATGTGGAAAGGCGAATCCACAAGCTACTCTGCTACGGTGAAGGCTGAAAGCCTTCACCTGTCTTTGAATTTTTTAATTACATACAGTGAAATGCACATATCTTAAATATACAGTTTGATGAGGTTTTTTTAAGATTTATTTTTATTTATACATATAATAACTGGGGTGTAGGCCAGAGGTGTGGTGAGGGGTTGAGATGATTCATCAGGGAGCAGAATAGGCAGATCTACTGAAATACACTGCTGAGGGGAGCAGAGGGTGAGGCAGGGGATTGATAGTTTGATAACGCTGAGACTTTAACCCCTGCACCACCAGGGAGGCCCCAGTTTGATGAGTTTAACGAATACTTTACCCTTATAACCCTCCTTGTGACCTTTCAAGATATAGAGCATCTCTATCACCCAAAAAGTTCTCCTGTTCCTGAGTCCTGACCCTTACTCCCCTTTACTCCCCCAGCAGCTGCTGACTATTCTTGAAGCTGCTGCTTCAGGACTCCAACCTCCCCAGAGCGCTACTCCCAGCCCTTCCAGGCTCTACTCATAGTGCTGCAGAGATCCCCAAGGAGGAGAAGAGGGGGTGCAGGTGCCCTGCAAGCAGAGACTGTTGGGGGTGGAAATGCCTTCTGCAGCCTCAAAGGAACAGGTGGGCTGGCACCCAGGATGGGGCTTGTCAAGCCATACAAACACTTATAAATTTTAGGAATGGAGAAACATTGATTAAAGTAATCGTTACCAATGTAATAAATCCAAGTAGGGTGACCATAATAACAGATTTAAAAAAGAGGTTAGGTTTATTCTAAGGGTCAGCTTGCTTTACCCAGCAACTGCCTACTCCCTAGAAACCTTCATCTTTAAACAGGTTATGCCCTTAAATAGAACTCCTCAAAAACCTAAACCCTGAAACATAGAAGGAAAAAAAACCCCTAGTACTTGTTCTCTATACAGCTTTCAGGATTATGACAGTCCTGCTGAGGACCATGGGCAAGGAAGCTGGTGGCTGTGTCCCCTCCTGGCAACTATTATCTCGTGAACAGCCCTGGCAGGCGCAGCCTGAGCCTGAGTGCGGCGGAGGGGCCTGCCAGTCCACCCCCAGCAGCTGGGCTCACCCCATTAGGCAAGAAGCCCTTGGCTGCCAGTACCGCTCATGCACAGGTGGGGGCCAGGACTGGCCGGAAGCCCTTATCCCTGCCAGCCGAGCAGTGGAAGGACAGGGCCACAGGGATCCCCCTCCCCCATTCTTAGCCTGTGCTTCCGCCCAAGAGAGGAAAACTACCATGAATTTGACCAAGGCCTTCTTGAGAGCCCTGGAGGAGCTGGGCCGCGGGCCAGTTGTGGTAGGGACAGAGGCTGGGGTGTGGAAAGCATGTCTCCCCTCACCTCTCTCCTTCCCTGGCCTGGACACAGCTCCCCAACTGCTCCTCCTGTGACTGCTCCCCTCAGAGAGACTTCCAAGGCCGAGCCCCAGCCCTGGCGGTGGGGACAGGGTAGGTTTGCAATGAGCTGTGCTTTCCTCAGGCGCTCCCAACACTGAGACAGCAGAGGGGACTCCCCGACACCTCAGCATCCTCGGCATGCCCTCCCTGCCCGCACCCACACATCAGGCCCTGGCAACCCCACGTGTGAACTCTGCTCTCCTCCCTCTCTCCTGACCCGCAGCCGCCCTCGCGTGTCCAGACTCCAGCCCGTGCCGCGCCACGAGAGCAGCGGCTGCCTCCGGTCCGGTGCTGCACCCGGGCCCCACACCCATCCGTTCCCCACCTCCTTCCTAGGTACCCCAACAAGGAGGGAGCGTGTGAAGTCAGCCGTTGAGCAGGCTGGGGACTAACAAGGTGGCTCACGGGGACAAGAAGGAGAGCTGCCGTGCTGGAGGCGCCGCGGGCTGCGGCAGGCCCCGGGCTCCCCGGCCCCTCTCACTGCTTCTGTGCTAGCGAAACCAGGGCCTTGTTGGGTGCCGGTGCCTCAAGGACTGCACGGGCCCTTCTCCCGCTTACTTGCCATGTTTTGGTAAGTCTCAGTCCACCATGGCGGGGAAGCCCATTCCTCCAGCCAACGACCGCGGAAGGCTCCAGCACGAGCTGTGGCCCTGGTTCCAGGACAGGGAGCTGCAGAGGGCAGGTCTCAAGGAAGTTTCCTCCTCCCCCAAGAGTGTGTTGCAAGAAAGATTTGCCATTTCCTGCCACTGATGCTGTCAGGGGAGGGTGGCGGTTTTGGAGCTTATGACCATAAGGGAAAAACAAGAGAATCACAGAGCCCACAGAGGACTGGCGACCACCTCGGATCCCGGCATCATCGCATTCCTGCGTCCTCCAGCACTGAAATGATCACCCGTGCTCTCATTAGGAGATGGAATGGAGGACCCTGTTGCTTGAGCAACTTGTAATTGGACACTCTGTGACTGGAAGCCAAAGCATTCAAACCATACGGAGGTGGTGACTGCAGGTGGCTCCAGCTGCGGCACAGGGCGCACAGGGGCCAGGCGCTCCAAGCGGGGCAGAGCACGTGCCAAGGCAGGCAGCATTTTTGGAATAAAAGAATTGTAACTTGATTTAGAGCCAGGATCCCAAAGTTTAGGCAGATTTCTTAATTTATGAGTATGGAAAAAGATCAGATGAACAATCTGGTACCTTCATCCAGAAGTCTGGGTGACACCAGCAGTGAGACCCAAGGTGCCTGACTCCCAGCCCTTCACGCTGAATGGCTACCCCTTTTTCCAAAACCTGGCCAGGCCAGGCACCTACCACGCTGATGAGTTGGGCCAGGATGAGCTGCAGCTTGATGGAGATGAGCTGGCCGGAGCCGGTGGCCGGGCGGATCAGGTTGTTGTAGCGGGTTTTGTTGAGAAGGTCGTCCATGAGCTTCTCCTCAGCATTGGCCAGGCGGCAGGCCCCTGGGAAAACACAGGCCACCCTGCTGGGCCCCATCCAGCTGATCCCGCTGCAGCCGATGATGATGAAGGGGAATGCAGGGGGTCCTCAGGGCCTCTGACGCAGCTCAAGTGCTGGCCAGTGGGCCACTCCTCGGGGCCCTCAATTTGAATAAAATCTAAGACAGAGCTCTCTTGGCCTCCCCCTCACTGTCCCTTGTTCTCCCCCTGTCCTTTCCAGCAATGGATAGCACCCCGCACTCTAGACATTTAGTCCAAAAACCTGGTACCTTCAAATTGGCACCGGGTCCTGTCTGTTCTCTGTCCAGGTTTCTCCATTTGACTTCCCATCTCTACCCTCCAGCCTTGGTCTGGGCTCTGCACCCTGCTCTTCCAGCTCCCTGCCTCCCGACCTTCATGGACCACAAGGTGGTCTTCCCATGGGAGACCGGCCCACAGCCCTCTCCGGCCACAGCCTCGCAGAGGTGGAGGCAGAGTCCAGGCCCAAGGTGCTGGCGGGGCCTCCTCTGCCCTGTGCCCCTGGCACCGACTCACCTTCATCTGACCTTCCATGTCTCTCCAGCCCCACCCCCAGGCGCCACACTCTGGCAGACCATCCTGCTTCCTCTCCCAGAGCCTCCTGGCTCACTTCACACTCTTTCTTCCCCAGCCCTGCTCCCAGGTCACTGGCCATGAGTGTCCAGTGTCTGCTTGCGTCAGGCTCCAGGGCAGATGCACTTCTGCCCTCAGGAGCTGGTGGTGATGGGGGGAGAGACTAGTCCATGTGTGCATAACTGAGTGGATGGAAGCGTTTTCCCAGGATCAGGCTGGGAATTTCCTGGGCTGAGACTTGGGCCTGTGGTGTGCAAGATGCCTGGCGGACATCACGTGGGGGGTCCAGCTGCCAGAGGACTCCCACCCTGGAGCTGAACAGAGGCCTTGGCTCAGAACCATGCTGCCGTCCCAGCAAATACAGGCTTTCAGGGAGCCTGACCTGCTTGCTGTGAACCACCCTCTCCTTGTCATACCGTATTTAAATCTCTGTCCCCTCTCCCTCACAGATTTTGGGGTGAAGGGGAGGTTCAGAGAACTCTTATTTACTCAGGAGTCTTCAGGAAGAGCGTGTCAGCTGTGAGCAGCAGGGAAGCACTCAGAGGAGGGCAGGGGTACCCGGACAGCAAGAGTAGGGAAAGAGATGGGGGCACAGAGGAAACAATGTGGGAGCAGGAGAGCAGAGGGGAAGTGGATAGGAATAAGGTGGGAAGAGGATCCTGGGCTCCCAAAGTCTTTACAGAACTCTGATCCCGTCCTCCTGAAGGGTGCTCAGTGCAGCTTCCCCACCCTCCCACTCGGTGGGGCCACAGAGCCCAGAGCAGGAACTGGCCAGACCGATCAGATGGACTCCCGGGTGCGTGCTGGGAGGGGCAGAGGCTCCAGGAGCAGCCTGCTCCAGGCACCTGCCAACTCGTTTGCCCATCTGGAGCAGACGCAGTATTTAGTGCCTTGTGAGGATGCTGCCTGCTGTCCCTTCCCCAGACTGCCCCGGGCTGCCAGAGGGGTCTTGTGGCTGCTTGGCCTAGGTTGTGAGCCCTTCCCAGACCCACCTCTCTGGGCCCTGCCCAGTCGCCAAATGCTGGAATACTATGAAAGCCAGCCCGGGGCCTGCCTAGGTCCCTTTCAGCACCCCCCTTTAGTGTATGCATGCACATACACACGCATGCACACACACACACACACACACACACACACGGGCTGATCCGTCACACCATGAAAGGGGTGTCTCTTGCCCAAGCCCATTTGGCAAATCTAAGGCAGCTCTGGGGTCACAATCTGCAGCTCCTGGCTCCAGTCCCATGGCACTGGGGGAGACTGATTCACCGGGGGTTCCACGAGGCCAAAAGCTTGTGTTCAGTTCTGCACCCACAGGGGCTGCTCACCTTTGGGTGTGTCCTGCCTCTCAGGCATTTAGCAGGCTCCCAAAGACCCTCCTCAACCTCGAGGTTGGGAGTGCTAGTCAGAGGTTCTGCAAACTTTGGATATTTATACCAACCCTCTGTTTTCCAAAACAGAGGGGAAGAAACTTACTCACGGACCTCCCAGCAGCTCAGAGGCACAGATCTAGGTGGCTCCTTCAGACAGAAGCACTCCCCGGGCCCTGTGCCTTCTTCGGAGCCCTTGCTGACCTCCTGAGACTAGACAAGCCAGCCACAGTGGTGCCCAGAGCCCAGTGGGTATACGGTTCGTACTTGGGGTGTGGGGTGAAGGGGTTATTGACCAGCAGAGCTGCTGCAGGCTGGAAAGCCCCAAAAAACACATGTGTAGACTTTCCAATCTGTGGCTTTTTGCCCGTGAGGTGGCTGGGTTCAGAAGACAAGGGCAGGCTACTCACCCCCAGATAACAGGGAAATCCCAGGGCCGGGTTAGGGGTCAGACATCCCAGCCAGGGGCTGACACGGTTAGGGAGGCCACCGCTAGGGGTCAGTGATGACCCAATGATTCTCCTGAGGAGTGGGCCCCAGGTGGACAGGACCTGGCATTCATTTCCTCCCTGGCATTCATTCCTGCAGAAATGGGGTAAAGCTGGGAGGCAGCTATGGCTGGAATTCCAAACCGTGTGAGTGTGTGGCCAGTTTGAAATGGCACTTTGGAGTTCAGAATCTACACTGGAGAAATGAAAAGGTCATTCCAGTTGTCTGGAATACAAACTACAGAAAGTCAAAAGAAACAGAATCTTCTTGGCAAGTGGCGTGCACAGGCAGAGAGATTTGCAGTTAAAGACTCCCCACTGGGGAGTCTTAACCCAGGAAGGGCACAGGATATTTGTATTTATTAAAAGGCAGCTATGGAGCTTGTGAGAAGTGGAAGTTTTACCCTTTACAAAGAGCTCACCAAATACTACCAGTAGCTTCTCGGCGTGTGTGCAAGAATCAGCAGGTAAATGCAGACTCCCAGGCTCCCATTTCCAGAGATTTTGTTGAGGCAAGCCCTGGCCAGGGCCCAGGAATGTGTACAGGGTGATTCTGAAGCGAGGGACCCCAGGACCACTCCCCCAGAGGACCCTCCGCTTGCCTCCAGCCCTCTGTGGTATCTCTGTCCAGGGCAGATGGAGACCCGGAGTTCCAGGCTGACTGGGGGTCAGAGAACAAGCTTGTGCCAGGGAGGAAGAGCTAAAAGAGCCCTTGGAAGTCACGGGGGAAACTGAGATCCGGAGAGCAGGCCTCACACCCGCTGGCTCTGCCTGGAAAGGGCTGGTTGGCTTCTTTCCCAGCCCTCACACTGCAAGTTCCCAAATGGCAGGCTCCACCTCACCAGCCTAATCCTCAGACTGTCCGGGTCAGCCAGCTTCGGGGTGGGAGGGGTGGGGGCCAGAGAAAGTGGTGCAGAGAAGTATGTTTCCTAGGCTATCCCCCCAAACTCCCACTCATTGGGGGGCTGGTGCTCGGGGCCATTTTCCCTCGAGACGGTTCTTGCGTCTCCAGCAGCGCGCGGCCTCACTCGGAGGCTGAGCAGCGCCTCCCAGACAGCGGCACCCCCTGGACGACCCCGAGTCCGTGCCTGGCCAGGCATCCGCACCGGGCACCCACGCCTCCCCCTGGGGCGCGCGAAGCTGCCAGCGGAGTCAAGCGAACCCGGCCCCAAGGCGCGGGCGACCCGCGAGGTCCCCCCACCGCTCCAGCCTCGGGGACCCGCGCCCCAGCCCCGCCCCCGCGCTCAGCCCCGCCCCGCCCGGTCCCGTCGGGACACCCGAGACACTCCCGCGCGCGGGGCACCCCCTTCCCTGCACCTGCGACCCGTCCAGAGGCTCCCGCGGACCCAGGGCCCCTCCCTCCTTCCCCGAAAAGGACTCACCGCGCCCGCACAGGGTCAGCAGCAAGAAAAGCACGGAGGGGCCCGCGCTCCCCATGGCGCCGGGGACCGGGACGCAGCCTGGGCGAGCGCACGGATGGCCAGGGGACCCTGGCGGGGAGCGAGCCGGTGCCCGCCTCGAGGTGGGCAGGCGCGTCCGCAGTGGGCACCAGGACGCGGGGGACGCGCCCGCCCCGCCCGGCTGCAGCCTGGAGCTCCGCCCGCGGGGGACGGGGCGGGGCCGGCGGGGCGGGCGGGGCTGGAGCCCAGCGACCCGGGCCGGGGACTGCAGGTCAGGCTGGCCCGGTCCTTCCCGACCCACGCGGGCCTCCTGCCTTCCCGAAGGGAGGCTCGCAGGACAGCACCTGCGCCCTCTGTGCACTGGGGAGACTGAGGCAGCCCTTGCACAGGATCTGCCACTGCCTGGGGCAAGTGGTCATGCGCCAGCGGGGAGGGGAGGTCCGTGGCCTAACCCAGAGGGCTGAACTCAGGGGTTCACTGAGAGAAAGGAGCGCTGCAGGTGACAGGGAGTAAGCCAGATGGAGTGGGGTGTAGCTGTCTGCAAATATTGAGGGAAAGAGCTTAGGAAAAATTTGGGGAGGGTGAAATTTGGGGTTGTGACATAGCTTAGGGTCTCTTTACCTAACTAGAAGTATTGGGAAGCCAGGGAGAGTGATGCCAGAGCTGGCTGGCCATGTCCTCTCCTGGGATCTTCGAGTTGGGGTGACCAGAGGTGGACTCAAGGGAGCAAGCATCTCCCCTCTCCAGCCAGGGGATGTTCCCTAAGTTCTGGAATCAGTGCCATTACATTGGCGTTTGGGGACTTCATAGGACAGGCATCCACACCAGGACAGCCTCTCCTCTGGACGGCGTCAGAGCTGGTGTCTCCATCCAGGATCTGAAAGGGCCCTAGCAGAGTCCCATGCCCAGGGGACACTTCCTCTTTCTCCAGCCTCTCCCCCTCCTCTTCCAGTGGGTCCCCACAGGCAAATCAAAGAAGTGGAGGAGCAAGGTGGGCAGGGTGCGTGTGGAGGGGGAGGAGGTGTATGTGAAGACACATTCACCTGAAAACACAGCTTTGCCACCTGCTCTCCAGACTCTTTAATCTTGCTCTCACATTGCTTCCCCTCCGTCTTTTTGCCACGATCTCACGGAGATCAGGATTGGTACAGGAACTGGTATAGGGACTTTTACAAAGAACACTGCTAAAATGGGTCTGTCTTCTTCTTTGGGATGGCTTGGAGAAGATAGGCTTGAGTGCATCCTTCCTTCCCCAAACTACAGCAACAAATAGGTAAAATAGAGAAAGTAAATTTAAAAAGACATGGATTGAAAAATGAGATCTCCGAGAACCAAAATCAGAAAAGAAATGCAAAGTGGTGGGGGACCGAAGCCTGGGACCAGCTGGGCCCTGGCAGCCAAAGGCAGAGGCAGGTGCTTTGAGATAAAAGAGGGCTCATCCCTGAAGGGATGCTGGGGTGGGAAACCTGCGGCTGATCTGTGGCCTGCAACCCTAACTTATAGGAGTGCATGAATTCCAATGGACCACAGGCTGGGAGAGTGAAAATACCATAAAACCTGGCAATTGCAAAACTAAGTTAGGTGAGCAATGGTGGGTGGGTACAAAGAGAGAGGACATTCAAAATGGTTTGACTTGTGCCAGAAAGTAAGAGAAGTGCGCAGAGAATGATGGGGCATGTCAAAGGAAAACCTGGGGCAGTTTGAGCATTGAAATGAAGTAATGAGTACTTATTGAATAAAATAAGCTACCTCCCTATTTTGCGGTAAGTACATGATTGAAATTTTGATGAGATAATGGGATACTTACATGGTTTCCCCGTAAAAGCCTTGCTAATTATGAGGGGGAAAGAGTTAACTTTACAGAGAAACCCAGCGGATGCCACCAGGAGTAGCTGAATAATGTCTCCTGAAGATGTTCTTGTCCTAATTCCGGAACCGTGAATGTTACCCTATTGGGCGTATAGGACATTGAAAATGTGATTAAGAATTTTAAGATGGGGAGAACATATTGGCCTCTCCTGATTGGCCCCTTCTACTCACAGGCGTCCTGGGGAAAGGGAGGTGGGGAGCAGAGCAGGAGGATGACACACAAAAGGGGAAGCAGCTGTGACTTAGGAATGCCAAGGCAACCTCCAGAAGCTGCCCAAGGCAGGCAATGGCTTCTCCCTTGAAACCTTCAGAAGGACTCAGTCCTATGAATGCCTCGATTTTAACCCTCTAAGTCTGATTTTAGACTTTTGACCTCCAGGCCTATATAAAAAAAATTATGTTGTTTCAAGGCACTTCATTTGTGATAGTTTTTTTAAAAAAAGATTTACTTATTTATGCATGCAAGAACTGGGATGTCCATGGCACAGCAGACCTCTCCTGTCTTGCCCGCTGCTCCCCTCAGCAGTGCTTTCGGTCATCTGCCTGTTCTGCTCCCCACTCTGTCTCTGGTGAATCCTCTCACCCTCCCACACCTCTGGCCCGTACCCCAACTCTTGTATAAATAAAAATAAATCTTTAAAAAAAAAGAATTGGGGTGTAAGCCAGAGGTGTGAGGCAGGGGGCTGGTGAGAGGATTCACCAGAGTAGGGAGCAGAACAGGCAGATCTACTGAAATGCACTGCTGAGAGGGCTAGCAGGCAAGGTAGGAGAGGTCTTTTGCACCATGTGGGTGGCTCCCTGGATGGCCCAGGGATCAAAATCGGGCTGCAGTACCTGGAGATGGCTTGATACCGCTGTCTTTAACCCCTGAGCCACAAGGGAGGCCCAGTTTGTGAAATTTTGTCATAGGATCAATAGGAAACAAAAAATACCATTTTAGGATGCAAATGGAAGAGCAATGAGATCGAACTTCATATGATCTGGAAAACCCTGACGTAGCAAGTGCTAGTGAAGGTGTATGACGACAGGAACGCCCCAGCTGCTGCAGGGATGTAGGTTGGCACTGCCAGTTGGTAGAGAAATTGGTGCTGTATCCTGAAGCCCAAGATGAAGCCCAGTGGCCAGCCCTGCCTCTTTTCGGCAACTCCTCTAAAGGACTAGCACACTCACATGGTGCTGCTCAAAGTCACCCTGTGTGTGGAAACAACTGAAATATCCACCACTAGGGACACGGAGGAATGAATGGCAGGACACACACAACAGACTATGACCTCAATCCAAATCTGGCCACTTTCTGGAGCCCAGAGCTAAGAATAGTTCTTTCAGGTATTAAAGGGATGTAAAAACCTAAATCAAAACACAAAACAAAGTAGATGCAACAGAAACCATCTGAGGCCTGCAAAGCCTAAAATATGAACTGTTCTGGCTTTTGCCCAAAACGTGTTTTGACCCCTGATCTAGAGCCATGTTAATTAGCATAAATAAATCTTTAGAAACAGCAGCATTAAGCAAAAAAGTTTTGAATAATCTGAACAAATTCCATGTGAATATATTATAATATGGACACAAACCTATTAACTAGCATTTAAAAACACATTTGAAGCAGCAAAACTATAAAAAGGGCAGAGGGGTGAGAAACTAAATACAGAGTAGTACTTGCTTCTGGTAATGGGGAGGTGGAGACAGGTTCTAGGGGTTTTACTTGTATCTAAAATGTTTTATTTCTGGGCTTTCCTGATGGCGCAATGGGTTAAGCACAGCACTATGAAGCTATCCACAGCGTCTGCAGCACAAGTTCCATTCCCTATCAGGGAGCTACCCACATGGCGCTGCAGACCTCTCCTGTCTCTCCCGCTGCTCCCCTCAGCAGTGTATTTCAGTCAGTCTGCCTGTTCTGCTCCCCACTCTGTCCCTGGTGAATCCTCTCACCCCCCACATCTCTGGCCTGTACCCCAGTTCTTGTATGCATAAATAGATATATCTTTTAAAAAATGCTTTATTTCTCAAGGCAGGAAAAGAAGATCTGAAGCAAATATGGCTAAGTGTTAATAAGTCTTGATACCTGGAGAGAGGTCTCCAGGTGTTCATTATATGACTTCCCATAGATTTATGTATGCTTGAGATTTTATAATTTAAAAGAAAAACTTTTTTTTTTTTTAAAGAAATGTGTTTTGGTGGGTGGGCCCAAGAGGAAGGTGACTGTAGAGTCTGTTGTGTTTCTGGCCCCAGCTGCAGGCTGAGCTATTGTCCAAAGGCCAATCTGGCCTGGGGCTCTGCCTGGGCCTGCCACCTGCTCCTATTGTAGTTGCCTTGGCTGTGGCTAAGGTCAGTTGGTTTACCAGCTGAGCCCAGCCTATAGTAGTTCTGGCCAGATATAGGAGGTAGTGTTAGCAGGGAAAATTGAGGGGCACCCCAGGACCCAAACCTGCCTGCTCTAAATGGGTTCTGCCATCTGCTGCATCAAGACAAACATACTCTCAGCGTGTAAGGCCTTCAATAGAAAAGAACTTTAATACAACTAGTGTGCAGTTAAGAGAAGAGAAAGAAGCACCCCAAATTACTCATCCCCTCATGAGTAAATGCTTAGCCAAATAGGCTTGGCCCAAAGCAGGGCAGCTGAGGCCCCAAAGCCTGCCAGAAGTCTAAGGCACCTTCTCATGGAAACCCATCAGAAAGGGACAGAAGGGGCCAGACAAGTCTGGAAGGAAAAGAGCAAAATCCAAATCTAAATTAAGGTAAAGGCTGCCAATGTCAGCCTCCCCACAGGTCTCTCACCCACGTCTCTGTCTCTTTCAAATGTCTCCTTCCATGTCTCCTACATCCCTAGTACAAGTCCAAGGCCAAAATGCAGGCGTGGCTTCTTCACAAGTCTCTCTGCTCGGTGTGTCTCCTCCAGGCTTCTTCCTCCATCTCCTTCCACTGCTGCTCCTTTCCCAGGTCTTCTCTCTCTTCCCCTTCCTGCCCAGTGCCACCCTTTCTTAGGATGGCCAGGAACTTACACCCTTACAGTAGTAGCCTGGGATCTGCCACAGACCGGACTCAGGGCCCCAGTGGTAGATTTTGTGGCCTCCAGGGACACATCCAGTTCTGTTTTCCTGGATCCCGGTTTAGTCATGAGACCTGTGGCTGATGCTCTGGGTTCAGCTCTCTTTCGCCAAGGTAAGAGGG